CGTTGGTAAAAGAGTACCCTAAGAGTTGGTGGTAGGGTGGTGATGACTAGCTGCCTTCCCTCTAGTCTTACACTTCTAAATTAGTCACGGCTAACGCAGATAGCCCTCGTGTAGCTTTGCGCGAAATTCAAACAAACCAAAATCGTATGAATATAAATAGTTCATAAAATGCCCAGTGATAAGTTTAATGTGGAAAAATATTTTGCCACTGACTTCGGCAAAATATGATACGATCATACGGCTGTAATTTTGAAACAATTGAATAAGTTGGACCAAGAAAAATGTTAAATACTTTGCTGATAAAAGACTCAGGAACAGTAGATTTATTTTATAAAGGTACTTACTTTAATCTTCTTGTCTCTGTATCATATTGTTTTTACTATTTGGTCAAAAATCTTTACTTGAATAGCCACAAGTTTAAAGGCGCTATCTTAAATAACGTAATTAAAGAGAAAAAAAATGTCAAGCTATTTTGTGTCTTCTCGCAGTCTTTTATGTTCTCTATTGAGATAGCGATCTGATATATATATGTGTGTATACTATAGTCATATAACCGAATAATTGTATGTAGTGGAAAGTTGAGAATATTTGATAATGTTGGCGCAAATTACAAAGCAAAATTGAAGTGTCTACTGTTATGAGGAGAATGTTGGTGTATTTGAATTATATTAAAATATTTCAAAGCATAATGGCTAACCAACAGGGTGTGAGCTTTAAAAATCACGTCTTTATGATATATTATACATGTGAAGTGATAATATCAAAATTAAATTTAACAAAAGTTATCCGTAGCTTCTGAATTATGTTTATTTGAAGAAAATGTAGAGGAAAGAAAATGGTCAAAACTGTATTCAAGAGCATTCACATATATTACAGAAATAATGGTTTGGATGGAATTTTTTTATTACTACATTCCGTTATCCAAACGTTTATTAAAGAAAAAATGGAATGTTTTATAATATCCGTCGTTAAATAAGCAACAGGAAAATAAAAACATTTTGCTCAAATAATCCAGTAGAAATGCAGATAAATTAAGTTTTTATAAATGATATACATTTTTGCTCAAAACTTGACACCAAAATCATAAACTATGAGCTGAATGAGCACTCATTCTTATGCTCCAATACATATATTCATATTGGGAGATAAAGAAGAAGAGGTTTCAGTGTACGTCAGCCACTCATTCAAAACCCCAATTAGCTCAAAATACGTATAGTCTTAGGTCACAACACAGTTTCAAGCTCGGTGATTTCCATGTTTTCTAGGTTGTCGTAATAGTTACTGCAATAGTAGCTGTGAGAAGGTGGTAGAAGATATGGTTCGCTAATGCAGATGTGGCTCCGGGTCATGCTTCTTGGTACCAAGAATTCATCGGATGAAGACCTATGAACAAAATCAGATACGAAACAATATAAACCTTGCCTGAGCTTATGGACTCACAAAGTCAGAATCTCCGAATATGTAAACACGCGAGTACTGAGACACGTGTTTTATCTCAATGTAAATGAATTCACCAAAGTAGAAACACAGAAACTGGTAGTATAAGTTTAAACTAGACGATGGGGAATTCGCCAATCAGGACTCTAAGATACACAAATGGGAACAGGAACTCACAATTCTTAACATAAATGGGTTAAATTTGCCAAGCAATGAGTGCACAATGTATTAATAAAGAAACATAAGTTGATAGTTACATTCCTTAACTTGAGGGGGCTCAATAGCTCTGGGGGTCCTGCATATGTATAAAAATTGATAAACCCAAAGAAATAAGTATCTGAAAATGTACTGACACAGAAACAAGTAGCTGAATTTGTACAATATTTACGTTTGTAACTCTGGTTCTGCCAACCAGTTTTATTAATAAATCAAGTAGTTAAGTTCGTACAATATTTAAATTTGTAACTCTGGTTCTGCCAACCAGTTTTATTAATAAATCAAGTAGTTAGGTTCATACAATATTTACGTTTGAAACTCTGGTTCTGCCAACCAGTTTTATTAATAAATCAAGTAATTAGGTTCGTACAATATTTACATTTGTAACTCTGGTTCTGCCAACCAGTTTTATTAATAAATCAAGTAGTTAGGTTCGTACAATATTTACGTTTGAAACTCTGGTTCTGCCAACCAGTTTTATTAATAAATCAAGTAATTAGGTTCGCACAATATTTAAGTTTGTAATTCTGGTTCTGCCAACCAGTTTTATTAATAAATCCGATTGGAGCTTTTTTCTTCGGAGAAAATCAGAGATCAATGGTGACGCAGTAAAAATACATAAAGAATGAAACAAAATTTAGATATATATATAATTTTAATGAGTGCTATGCAAATTAATTTTTTACTAATGCATTTAAGAAGATTTTATGGTCAAACATCATTGAATATGAACTAATTTTGTTCATGTACCACTTTAAAATTTTTTATTGTGGTTTGTTAGGTTTCTGAAAAAGCAAAAGTTAATATGTATATAACTTACATGCCAGATTTTACACTGAACTTCCACTTTGGTAGATGGTATTCAAAACATAACAATATTTGAATTATTGGAAAAGTTGCGTTTATAATACGTCAAGAAGGTAAAAACAACAGGACTGAATCTAAGTCTAGTGTTGTAATGAGGTACATTACAAAGGATTGTAAAAAAAGCAGTTCAGTGTTGTTGTTTTTTTTAGTTTTTTCTCGGTTTGTTTGTAATTAAGCACCAAGTTAAACAATGGGCTACCTGTGCTCTTTTCAACAAGGGTATAAAAACCAGATTTCTTGAGTTGTAAGTCCGCAGACATTCCGCTGTGCTACTGGGGGGCTTTTTTCTCGAAGCTGTAGACACCTCATACAATATATTTTGCATAAGCTCAAAAACATCATTTCACAATTATAGTGTAAACGAGGTTATCATTACCCTTTGAAGTTAGCTTTTTTACAAAAAGCTTAAGTACAGAGTGAAACAGGAATTACCAGCCAATAATAGATGAACATTACATGGCTGTAACATGTACATACTCAATGCTTTGTACACTATACAATCGATGTCTTTAGGGATCCAACCCCTATATTACTGATTGCTATGTTGTTTAAAGAGTTAATGAAGCATTATATTACTGCTACGTTATTCATAATAGGAATCAACCAGATGTGGATGAAACCACCTTAGAAAGCAAACTCGTTCCCAAAACAACACTCAAAATCTTCCTTCGCAATACTAAAAGTTAGACACGTTTAAAAAATTCAGAAAAAATAAACTATCCGATACTTAGAAAGAATCTAAAATCCGCTAAAAACTGTTTGTTTGTTTGTAGTTAAGTTAAAACTACACAAAGTGCTATCAGTGCTCTACCCACCACGGGTATCGAAACTCGGTTTCTAGCGTTTTAAGACCGTAGCCATACTGTTGTGTCACTGGGGCGCCAAAAAAAAAAAACTCCTCAATAAACATTATTATTATTATTCTTTTGCCAGCCTACAGCAAAAAAGGCTTGGTATATTGCACCCACATCTTTTGTAGAATACTAAATAAGGTACTGCGAAGGTCGTACGGGTATTCAAATGTCGATATGTTCCTTTCCTCTTCATCAAACTTCATTACTCATTATCCTGCGTGTGACCTCTTAACTACATTTATGAAGTAGAAAACTTCTTGTTTCTCATATTATATGCACTAACTTGCACAAAAAACGTACTCTCTGTTCAGCTTTTTTTCAAGTTGTCGTAGTTTCAATCTGGCCATGTCTAGTTCGTGGCGGACCTTCCACAGTTGAGTATCGCAGACTGGATCACGACATCGATGATGTTTCAACATGTCTTGAGCTTCAAAGACAGCCCCGCGAAAACTGAGGGACTTCCCCATGCTCTGGAGTGACATTGAAATATATAAAGTAAAATTTTAAACTGCACCGTTGCAGTGTATCTTGATAAAAATAAATCGAGTATATTATTTTGAACATTTACACAACTATACTCTACAAAACAAACCTGAGTTTCAAAGCTTTGGTGAGAATATTCTTTAACGATTTTTGCAACGAATTTGTTTCCCTTCACAGTTTTACATATGTATATATTTCCATATATATAATTTTTGTTCCAAGACAAACAGCATTATTAAATTTTTTTAAAACATGTTTGTATAGTGATTAGACTTCCCACAACTGGCTAGATAGTACATTTTCATTATGATATATATATATTATAGTCCAGAGAGTAACTTACTATATATATATATAGTTGAAAGATAATTTAAACTCTTCTAAAAAGATGATTGTGCGTGTCATTAAAAAGAAATAGGTAAACATTAAAATACAAATAATAACAGTAAACTATGATTTGTATGATTTCAAGGGAGAATGTCTATACTGTTTGTACTTTTGCATTAAAGAAGTTTCAAGTTCTGTTTCTCATTTAAAACTATACGTTATTTTCAAGTAATACTAATATGAAGCATAGTTTCAAGAATAGGTAGCATGTTGTCATATTACTGGAGAAAAGAGCAAACAACTTTTAAGGAATATTTTTACCTGACTCAACTTTGAAGAAACAAAAAATGAATAATTAATCGAAAATTCCATAGTGAAGCACAGTGTCCAAGTGTCAAGTATTTAGTATTTGTCCCTGATGATTCTTGTTAACCAGAATTCAAAATATAAGGCTTTACCTACTTTGTTTGACATTTTGACATTCACTAGTCATTATGTTTTAACTAAATTCTCCCACCTAATTATATTTATTTGCTATAAATGAATAACCAAAATTAAAAACAAAACAAACACGTGATGTAAACATACAAGACTGACAAGTGCGAAACAGCCTCCTGTGTCAGTCTTTGCAAGGTGTTTCCTGATGTATTTGAAATATAAGTGTTCCATTCCCAACAGGACAACGGTGAAAAGGACACCACAGCCAAGAAGAAGAAAGGCACTCATGAACTGATTGATATCCAACGGATTTGTGGCATTTCTTTTATTTTTGGTTGGCTTACAAGCCCCTTGTAACCAGAATCTTTGAAGGCGCTCTAATTCTCCTAATATAAATAAAATCAGACAAATGTTTCACAAATACAGTTTGTTAAAAAATCATTTCTTAAAACAATATTTATTACAAGTATTCTGAAAGGAATCCGTATGCAAGTCGTAGTACAATCCACAGTGTTGTGTTAACAAACGAATATAAAATTTTTAATTGTGTCTGCATTGCCTTTTGTCAAAGTTCTCATTATAAACAATTATCGAACTCATGTGTGAAACGGATATAGAATTTAGGAAATAGGGCATGGCATTTAATAAAGTATTATATACGTAGACACAAAAAGTGTTAGATATGGGTAACAAATGTACAGAACAATATAAGTACGTTTTCTAATCTTTATTGAACTGACTCAAGATCGGGTGTCTTACATAATGCGTATTGTGTTTCGTCATTACTATGGGTGTTAAATTGAGGTTTGAATAATATTTTAGAATTAGAATATTACTAACATCAAATTTACAGCGAATAAACGTATAGAAATAGTATATTGTTATAGTTCATTGTTTCTAGTTGTATAAATTATTTAGTTCATTAACTACATAATGTTGTAGTTTATTGTTTCTAGTTGTATAATTCATTTAGTTCGTTTACTACATAATGTTATAGTTTATTGTTTCTAGTTGTATAATTTATTTAGTTCATTCACTACATAATGTTATAGTTTATTATTTCTAGTTGTATAATTCATTTAGTTCATTCACTACATAATGTTATAGTTTATTATTTCTAGTTGTATAATTCATTTAGTTCATTCACTACATAATGTTATAGTTTATTATTTCTAGTTGTATAAATTATTTAGTTCATTCACTACATAATGTTGTAGTTTATTGTTTCTAGTTGTATAAATTATTTAGTTCATTCACTACATAATGTTATAGTTTATTATTTCTAGTTGTATAAATTATTTAGTTCATTCACTACATAATGCTATAGTTCATTGTTTTTAGTTCACTTTTCACTTACTTATGGAAACTCTCAAACCATTCACGTTTCAAGTTTTAAATACATTTTCCTTCGATAAACTTATAAGACAAATTCCAACAGGTTAATTTACATAAAAGATTTCAAGCTCATTAGTGAACCATTAATTATTTTCTATGAATTTAACAATTAAATTTTCATTAATAAATTAAAAATATAAATCAATTAAACTGTTTATGATTCAGAAGCTCTCTAACAAAAGGACTTCTAAGAAAAGTGTGTTTTGATAAATTTCTTTGACTATTTTTAAGGTCCTTTGTTGTTGAAACTATTTTTAAGCCGATGTTTTAAGGTGTTTTTTGCATGATATGCAATCCATATCACGTTTTACTAAATGACATCTAACTGTTAATGCTAAAACAATAATTTAACAAATAGTGTTCGCAATAATTATCTGAATATATTTCATATTAAAATGTAATGATATCAGTCTTTTATGAATCAGTTTAAAAACTTTTTGAATTATGTGGGTTGGCATCACTTTACATTAATTGATTACAAATCGAGTATCTCATGAGATTAAATCTAGCCTAACAAGCTGATTGATTCTTTCTTCCTCAAACCAAGCTATATATCTTGCTATTTATCGTACTTCACATTTTGATAGTTGAAGAAAAAAAACTCTTACAAATTTTTTTTGGTTTTAAGATTTTTCTACAAATTAGAATAAAAAATACTTTATTAATCTATAAACATATTAACAAAAACCGAAATATTCTTAATTTGTAGATAATTGTAAATATTTTCTCACAATTTAAAAGGAAATAAAAAATCTTGATTTTTACTGCACTACATTCGTATTTGTTCTAACTGAATTCAAGATTCGTACGTTTCCCGTACAACTTACCGTTTTCTCGGTAATGTATCATCCATTTATTAAACATACTTAGATACTTGGATTTCTTGGGCAGAGCAAAGCCGTAGCCTGTTGTGGCATACCAAGAACCAACAGTCAACAGTCGACATTCGTTGTCTTGACCAGCCAGATATTCCAGAACAGTGGCGTCATAGATAAAGGCATCCAACTCCCTACGGAGCAGAGTCGACTTGTATATATATATATATATATATATATATTACTAACTTATACAGATTCTTTTATTCTGTATTGTATTATTATTCGCCACGTACCAAACTACAGAAGTAAATTAACTTAATTTTAAAAAGTTAAA